ATAATGACTTGGAAGTATTAGCTGCCGAATTAGTAGTATATTTCTTATTTCTATAAAAATAAAATGAGTCATTACTATGGTCTTTTCTGTTTAGATAAATGGTACCTATTCCCAATCAACTTATGTAGCAGATTTATAGGCATAAAAAATCGTGGTGGCTATAAAGCAAAAGTATTTAGAGAAAAGGTCCTAAGTATCACATCGATTCAACAAATATTTATTAAGTCCAGGAGCTCTGCTCTTTGCTGGGGGGACACAGATCTAAAAGACGCAATTTCTGCCCTCGCTTAGCTTATAGTTTAGGGGAGATAGATTTCTCAGATAGTTTGAGCTTAGGCGCTGCAATATCAGAATTAATATGAAGAATAGAATGAAGACAGTCATTTCTCAATGAGGTGATTTGGGGGAGATATGAAGAATTAGTATATGCGTGAGTTATTCGCATATGGATCTGGGTGGGGCGAGCGGGGTGAGATGAGATGGGGTTAATCGCCGGAGAGGGTGGTGGAGAGGACAGTACAGGCGGACAGAACAGCATCACGCGCACAGTCGTGGCAGGGTGTAGGCATCGTGTACGTGGGAAAACTACAGATGACCTCGCATTATTGCAACATAAGGGGAAGAGAAAAGTGGTAAAAAAAAAAAAAAAAAAAAAAAAAAAAAAAAAAAAAAAAAAGAACGGGAAGGGGAAGAATAAGAAATAAAGACTTGAAAAGTAAACTGGAATCAGACCATAGAAATCCCAAATGCCAGGTCAACAAGTTTGCCTTTGCTCAGCCCTGCAAGGCATGGCTCAGCGGTTGAGCATCAATCTAGGATCCAGGAGATCGAGGTTCGATTCCCAGTCAGGGCACATACCTGGGTTGCAGGCTTGATGCCCAGTTGGGGGCGTGCAGGAGGCAGCCAATCAATTGATGTTTCTATCTCTCTNAAAAAAGAGAGACTGAGGAGGTGATACTAAAGCTAAAAGCTAGCATTTTTGAAGGTTAATTAATATAGAGGGCGGGGCCAAAGTAGGTTTACAGCTGTTCATATGGAAAATAATACACTAATAAATAATACCAAGTATAAACTCTGTGGTTCACATACTCACAACTGTAAAACTACTTTTGCCCCACCCTGTGCCCCGGGCTTGAGGTGCGTGAACATGCTTCGTCTTGACAACATTCCTCTGAGGTCTGTGATCTCATCTTCCCCTGTTGCCCTGCCTGCCTCCTTGCAAAGTGATTCGCTCCGATGGTGTGATCTTAGCAGCGCGTGCCATTCAAAATCGAATGGAGGTGCATTGTAATGTAGAAACGTCGCTGGAAGGAGAGCAGATTCTCTGCCTAGAGACTGCCAAACGTGGCACTGCCACGCTCTGAGGCCTGGCGGCAAAGTTCACAAATCTAGACACTCAATCTTGTGAGCGTCCAGAGTAGATTGTACTTGGGGTATGCAGATTTATGCTGACCCCATTTGCAGGGGACTGTTAATTTAACCAGAATGTTTTGAGACAGTAGAGACATAGCCTAGCATATGTGAGCAGTACTTAGGGGTTTTGATGGAACCGGGCACAATGTGAGTTAGTACAACGAGGTGCTTGCCAATAAGGTAATAAAATCAGAGGCTGAATTAATAGAGGTATAGTATTTCAAGATGAAGGAGGTGGAAGTCCCTTCCTTGCTTGCATTTATCAAACCACAGAATATTTGAGAGAGAGAGAGATGGACACTAAGTCATGTCACATGAAGATAAGTTGAACCTGTAGGTATACTTTATCCTGAAGGACAGAATGCTGCCTTCAAATAATATTTACATGGTCGTTGACTCTGTCCAATCTACCATCTCTCTTAGTTCAGACTCCTATCATTAGTCACTTGAATTACTTTAATAGCCCGAATTATGGAACATAAGAGAATCTGCTCTGGCCATTTTAAATAGAAAAAAAAAAAAGCTATTAACATACATTAGGTAGCTCTCTTGAACAAGATAGTTTGCAGAAACAGGCTCCAGATATCATTATAGGAATAACTTCCAGAACCACACATCTGAAATACAGCCCTATTAAGGAGGCTGTTGCTACCCCTGAACCATTTGGTCAAACTGTCACGATTAGAAAGGTATGGCCGCTGCCATCAGTTCCATAACCGCATCACCTCTGTTGCCAACCACACCAGCAAAATGGATGGCTTCCTAGTGGCCACCTCCTTACATAGTTCGCTTCTGAATCTGTACCTCCCAGCGATGCATTTCCTTGGTGGAAACTCAGTCACGTGCCTGTACCCTAGTTATAAGGGAGTCCGGCAAATGTAGTTTTTGTAGAGTCTTCCTTGCTGAAGTGGGACTGACACTGTGAGGGTGTAATAAATGTAGCGGGCATGGTTGAAATGCTGCTGGGCAGCCACACGTGACAGCAGACCACTCCGGTCTCCTAGCTGGTCTCCTTGCCTTTGCTTAGATTTTTCTGGTCTTTCAAAACCCAAATCCTGGTGGAGGCTTCTCTGACCATTCCATCCACCGTCTGTGTTTCCCAAGCATCATATTGCCTCTATTATAATTATTAGAGGCCTCTATTATAATTATTTCTTTACATATCATTTCCCTTACTAGGCCGTGAGTTATTACTCTTATTTAATAATAACGCAGTCCTGCCACATTCATACACTATTAGGATTCGGTTGTACGTATTTCATATCTAGCTGTCCAAAGAAAACCTTAGCAAAAATTAAACTACCCTAAAATTAAACTACCCTAAAATTAAACTGCCCTAAAATTAAACTGCCCAGGTGGTGGGTTCCCTGTTAGTTGACATGGATGGAGAGCGTAGGTGAGTATCTGTGGATTATTGCATCAAAAGTGGTGTGCAACTTCATTTCTGTGGTTCTACTTTGATTCAGCAGGGTGAGATCTAGCCTATGAGGGAGAGAGGGAGGGAAAAGGTGTCTTCTGCCTTTAAGTAAGTCATTAACAAGTATGATACACAAATGAGATAGGGTCAGCTAGGAAAGGTAGGGGTAGAGGCGGTGTTGAAGGTGATAGGAGGAGCCATCATGTGGACAGACACTAAATTTATAGGAACCACCCGTGGGAGTCACTGCAGTGGGTGCAAATATAGACCGTGAGAGTCTGGCTGTCAACCAAGTTACTATTCAACGGATAGGTGTGGTTTGAGTACTTTCCATGGATCCTTTGTATGTTTTTTTTCCCCTCCCACATTCTCACGTATGAGTCTTTAAAATAATTTTAATATTTTTCTTTGCCCATTAGTTTCCTTGATTAAAAAAACATTAATGCCAGGATTACTAAGAGAATAAAGGGATCAAAAACCAATTAAAAATAAAGTTGAGATACAATTCACATACCGTAAAGTCTACTCTCGAAGTGCTCAGTATGTTTTTTAGTATCGTCAAAGCGTTGTGTCACCATCACAACAGTAAATTTAGAACAGTTTTATCAACCTCTGAAAGAAAGGCCATACCCATCAGCAGTCACACCCCAATCTCCCCATCCCCTCCTTCCTGGCCCCTGGCAACCCCTAACCCTCTGTCCCTACAGAATTGCCTCTTCTGGACATTTAATATAAATGGAATTCTACAATATGTGTCCTCTGCGACTGGCTTCTTTCACTTAGCGTAATGTAATTTCTTGGCGCGTGCATGGGTCAGTATTTCATTCCTGTTTATGGCTAAATAGCATTCCATCGTGTGGACATAACACACTTGTTTATCCACTCATCACCTGGTGGACATTTGCCTTATTTCCACTCTTCGATAGCGCTGCTATAAACATTCACGTAGGTACAAGTTTTTCACGTGGACAAATGTTTTTATTTCTCTTGGGCATAGTCTGGGTCAGGCGGTGACTTTTTGAGGACCTGCGAGCCTGTTTTCCAAAGTAGCTGCGTCATATCACAGCTTTCATCGCTCCACATGCAAACTGACATTTGTTGTGGCCCCTCTGCCCCAGCCAGCCTAGGGGGAGTGAAGTGGCCTCTCACTGAGGTTTGGGTTTGCATTTCTCCAATGGCTAGTGATGTTGGGACAGCACGTGCTTTTTGGCCAGTTGCAGATCTTTAGAGAAACGTCTGTTCAGGTTCTCTTCCAGTTGGTAATTGGTTACTTACCTTTTTATTGTTGATTTGTGAGAGTTCTTTTTATATTCTGGATGCAAGTCCTTTATCAGACATATGATTGGTAGGCGTTTTCACCCATTCTGTAATTTGTCTTTTCTTTCGATGCTGCTTTTTGAAGTATGGTCATTTCCAATTTGATGATCCCCCAAGAGCGTCTCAATATTTTGCGAGGGTTAACATGAGTTTCAAAATGAAGAAAGATGATTTGTCTGGTGAAAATGGTGTATGTATGTGTATCACAAAATAAAGGAAGATTCCCAACAAAATTAAAGCTTATTGAACCTCAAAACAATATGTTCTTGTAACGTAACATTTCCCCCTCCACTGAGGGATTTTTGTTATTCCAATATAGCTAACTATATTTCTACCTTTTTTTTCTTTTTTTTTGCTTCTCCAAATCCAGCAATTTCTTATGAATTTTTCTTCAGTGATAGATTATAGATATATATTTTCTGTTAATTTATAAATCATATATGGTCCTTTAAGTAACAGTGATCCTCAGGGAGCATACACCAAATAATAAAGTATGTGTTCATTAGTTATTTTATTTATTTTTGCTATCAGGGCAAATAAATAGCCTTGCTAAGGTATATGACGTATATCTGTGCTGTAAATTGCCAATTTATTCTATGGGATAGTTAAAATTTTTCCTTTCTGCTCCTTATTTGACTAGGTAGAGATATGAGCCATGAATATATGGTAGATTTTATTCAAACTTATGGTATCTAGAGTGGAACATAATAGCGAAGGAGCCACAAAAATGATTATTGTTTTTAGTCACAGCATGACTTACTATTTTAAGACAGAACATTAAAGTTTATTAATCACTTTTGAAACTGTTGAGCAGAAATCTGCTAACGCGCCCCCCAAATGTTCTTTCTAACAGGAGGACATGAACCTTAACGAAGAACGAAAAGCTCCTTTACGAAACAAAGATTTTACCACCAAGCACGAGATGGTTGTCCAGTATATTTCTGCTACAGCCAAATCTGTAAGTAGCGAGCCCTTCCCGGCACCGGCTTAATGAGCTTAGCGTTATCTGCTTAAAGATAAACCTCAGATCTTCAAGTTCTTGCCTCATTGTACTTATATGGACTATTCAGAAAAAAATGATACATGTGTTTTTTTGCACATTTAGTATCTATTTCAAAAGTGTTCATAATTAGAATTCCGTTATAAACAGGACAGACTAAAGAGAGAAGGCCCTAAGCTAATCCAGTGAGTCTTGGAGTGAAGGTTTTGTGCACTTACTAAAAATGCACAGCAGTTGGCAGGTATTCCACTTAATACACAGTTTGTTACATGAAAATTTTGGATTTTCAGGGCGGACACACAAGCCTAGTCACAAGCTTTAAGTTTACATTAAAGCTACACGTCTGGTGTCTGCTTGTATGAATATTTTAACAATTTTTTTAAAAAATGCATCTTTTATTGATTTCAGAGACAGGAAGGAAAAGGGAGAGAGAGAGAGAAACATCAATGATGAGAGTCATGGATCGGCTGCCTCCTGCGCGCCCCCTGCTGGGGACCGAGCCCGCAACCCGGGCCTGTGTCCTGACCGGGAATCGAACCCCGATCTCCTGGATCCCAGGTTGATGGTCAGCCTCTGAGCCACGCCCGGCCGGGCAACAATATTTTTAATATGCAGTTTTGTTAGCTGTTTTTCACTAGTTTATGTGATACTGACTTTGTAAACTGCCTTCTAATTGTCATTACAGCTTAATTTGATATGAAGAAAGTTGCTTAAAAGGAGCTTGAATCAAACCTGCGAATCTCAAAAGATTTGAGAGTAGGGTTCATTGAAAAGACTTATCAGAAGGAAAAACATAGTGTTTTAATGGAATATGCTGCTTTGTTGACACCTTAAGGTGCTTCCAAAAATAGTCTCCAGGATTGATTTTTTTTGGGGGGGGGAAGTACTTTTGAAATGGGGAAATGTTTACATTTGTATAAAGAAAAACCTTTTCTTATCTAGAGATGATAAAATCATTATGTGTATATTATATATGTGTGTGCCTGCACACACACACACAGTGATTTTATGTATGTGGTATATATATTATATATGTTTATATATATAAATAATGTATATACATACACATTTACATTTAAAACATGCATATTTTAAGTTTAAAAAGCTGACCAGAGAAGAAAATAGTTCTCCTTTGGAAAAATATATTCTAAAATTATTTGGCTATCCTGTTAATGCTATTTCAGTCCAGTAATTGCAGTGGCAATTGCCGATGCATTTTGCCCTGAATTCTACGATCGTATTGATTCCATATTATACTTTAAGCAAGCTAAATCTGAATGCTGAACTATTTAAACATAACGCATTGTAGCTCTGCCAGAGCAGAACAACAGCATGTTTTTTAATTTGCTTCTGGTATCCAAGGGCAGAAATATGTTTCTAGTGATAAGTGAAATTTGCCATGAGCGTCGTTTTCAATAGAATTAGGTGATGCGTAGGGTTTTACTTTGAAATTCTGATGAATCTCTTCTCATTTTTCACTCAAGTTATTCTCAGTAAAATGCTTTAGGAAAATGCAGGGTGTACACTCAGTGTTATTTTTCTAATACCTAAAGGCGAATACAGTAGTAAATCTATATAACCAAATCTGAGTGCGAAGTACAGATAATAATATATGAATAATCATGTCGTATTTTTAATGAGATGATTTTGTTAGTGTTTCTGGCTCATTTCTTGTTGTTTTTGTTTGTGTAAGTGGGGCTGAATGTCATGAAGATTATATGAAGCGCTTCACTTTTTCTGATTTTTACTCTGTCGCTGTGTAGAACTCGTTCCCATTTATTCTCAGATTGTTTCCCTTTCAAATGACCAAAGAAATGCACACGTGAAGTCCTACACTCATTTTTCAGATTAAAATGCTAAAATTTAGGGAAATGTGGGATGAGCTGTCTTGAATTGCTTTGTTAAAAAAGTGGAAATGGAATATTTCTCAGAAGACATTGGAAATTCTATGTTTAAGGCATTTGCCTCAAAGTCAGCACCTTAACTCTTTCTCGTATGGCCTTTGTATCATTCAACACACATAGGAGCACCTGACAGGTGGCCCCCACTTTTTATTAGAGTTTCAAGATTATACATTTTATTTGCTAATATTTTTTATGGAGCAAATATGATGATGAAAGCAAGCCTGTTGATAAGCATATTTTAAAGCTTTCTCACCTTGGGGAGACATTAATTAGCACTGTGTTTTCTGTTGTTAAAACAGAGAAAACTGCTTATGTGATTTCTTTTTGAAGGCGAGAGGGATGCCGTTCGGTGACACACAGTCCTCTAATCTTTTGACCTCTCCATGATTATGACAATACAATTTGCATAAATTAACAACCTAACCTGTAACTGTTTACCTGTGTGTACCTAAGGTTTCCATCCTGCTCGCATATCTTATACTTTTTTATGCCTACTTTTTCATTAGATTGACACGCTGATTAAAAATGCTCCCTCATTTAAAGTAGATCGGATTGTAACCACTTCTTTACGCAGGTGGCTTATAAAGTAGTCAAAACTTTCATCTGGAAGTAAAAAGAGAGTCAAGGGCTAGAGTCCCTGGTGGAAAAAAAAAAAAAATGTTTTCTAGTCCCATGCGAAACGTGAGAATTCCAGGTAAATTGAAACATAAAATTGTACATTTTCCCCTCTCGCATCTGCAATCAGTCATTTCACGGGTCATTGCCAGACAAACAAAATATGAAATATGAGCTCGGTAAGAAATGCCCATCGCTCTGCTGGGCCCCTGTAAGGACAGGAAAGCCAAAGGAAAGGCCGCAGGTACGTGCGCAGAACCTGCTTCTAAAGCAAACGAGCGCCTGTTGCTTAATTAGCTTTGCTAAGATTAGCCCAGAACAAGAGAACGCGAAGGAAAGGAGAAGATAATAAAGCTATTGCTTGGTGTCCCCGCTTCAAGCCCCGCAGTGGAGAATGGAAGTGGTGCGGGGCCCCTGGGCCGCCCTGCTCAGCTCAGCCCAGCCCAGCCGCGGGCATGGTTCCGGGCCTGCCTGAGGCGCGGGGCCCCCGGATCCTTGGGCCACAACTAATCCCGAAGAGTCTGTGTTTTAAACACCACCGTATGTTTTCAGAAATGGAAAACCAGGCTTCGTTAACGTGGCCGCTTCATAATCCTGAAAGAGGGCAGGAGGCGCCAGTGGTTTGGAGGGCATCTCGCGCGTTCTGTCAGAGCAGCCGCTCGACACAGTTTTGAGGAAAAAGTAGCCACTGAAATCCTAGCCGTAGTTTGCCACGCGCCAGTGTCCTCCTCGTCAGAATGTTAGGAAACCGGTTTGTTCCTAACTTACATCACAATCTTCGAAGTTGAGATTTTAAAATATATAAAAGTGTGTTTTTGAAGACTGTTGAGCCCTTGAGAGGTATGATTGATTGAAAAAAAATCTCAATAGGAAGTAATTTCAAATAATGAGACCAAATACATCTATAGATTAATTAATTAATTTATTAATTTATTTATTTTTAAAATATATCTTTATTGATTTCAGAGAGAGGAAGGGAGAGGGAGAGAGAAAGAGAAACATCAATGAGGAGAGAGTCCTTGATCGAGCCCGCAACCCGGGCCTGTGCCCTGACCGGGAATCGAACCCCGATCGCCTGGATCCCAGGTCCACGCTCAACCGCTGAGCCACGCCCGGCTGGGCAATGTGTTTTTTTTTTTTTTTTAGATTGACCCATAAAATAAGCAAAGTTTCAGTATGTCTGTGTGTGTATTTGTATACATGCATCATGGCTTCGCTTTTGCCGTTATCAGGTATTTTTTTTCTCAGGTCTTCTTTTCCAGGCATGGTCTGAATTCGGTGAAACAACCGAACCCAACCATGACCAAATCAGTTCTTCTGAGCTTCCCTTTGCCAATCTGATCCGTTTGCTGTATGTGCTTCAGCTAAATGCAGTCATTCTGCAATCTGAATGAATCATTAAATGGGCCATATTCTGGTCATTTCGCTGGGTATAGACCTGCCTTAATTGTTAAGACAGGCTGGCATTCTTTTTTTAGTCTCATGTCTGTGCTAAATAAACAAGGGACAAATAAGACCTCTGTCTTTTTGGAGGGAGGAAATAATTTAGGTCAATAGCATATCTTTCAATTCAGAAGACTGCTAATGGCACCAAAGACGCTTTTATTCAACTAAATAATCATTGCCTGTAAATAGTCTGTCAAGCGAATATTTAAGAAAGCTGCTTCTCTCTTTGGAGATTCATGGATTCCTCTGAAATAATTTACTTGGAAACTGTCATTATCTTTTTGTATCTGGCAGTATCCTGTTCAATTTAGGATTCTTACTGGGATTTCAATTATATTTATTTTTAAAGTACAAGCTGAAAAATAGAACACATATTGATAATAACTTCTATCAAATTAATGGTTTTAGATTGCATTAGCTTTTTTTTGGACATCGCTGGATATTCAAGTGCAGAAATCTGATTACAATGATTTGATTTATATTTGGATTTTGGCATAAAATTACATTTACGACTATATGATTTTACTTCTTGCTTTTTAAAATACAGTTCTGCCTCTCAGAAATTCTCTTATCTCTTATCCATTAGGAAAAGCTCAATTGAAGTTACAATTTTGAACTGCTTCCTGTTTATGAATATCTGCATGTTTAGATATAAAATGCTTCTTTGTCTTTACATTATATGGAAAACTCTGATCTTAAAATAGAAATGCTAGGATGACCTAGAAAACTAGAATCGTATGCAGTTGATCTTCCTTGTAATTTTCAAGTGGAATACAAAATATTATAAACCTTAAATTTATAAAAATATTAAATATTCCAGTTTTCAAACTAATTTTCCTTTCTTAATACATGACATTGAATGCAACATTTGTATTCTAAAATACCTTATTTCAGCCTTAAGAGCATACTTTTTATAACAGTAAAAGGGAAAAACTAAGCAATATTTGGGGGAAAAATTAATTTTCTATTGATAATTTTTTTTGAGGGGCTGTGGGCTGGTAAAATATCTGATGCCTAATTACACTTAATCTTGCATGACTTGTTTTGATTGCACTATCAGTACATTTTAAAAAAAATCCTCAAATTGTGATCACCTTTCATTTGGGAGACCTCATTCCACAGACTTTATGGTAGAAATATGGTAGAAATGAATAGTGATATATTTGTTTTAGTCTTTAGATCTAAAGTATTAAAAGCACACATAGGGTTAGCTATATACTAATTTACTAAACACTTAACTTGTGTGAAGAGCTTCTAATTACTAATACTGTTGCTGTTTGTTTTTGTTTTTGTTCTACACCGTAACCACTCTCCGTTGACCACTGCATGCAGATAGTTGGAAGTAAAGTTACGGTGAGTACAAAAGACATGTTTTACCCTTAGATGTGAATTTGTGCTTTTTGGAATCGAGTGACTTTTGCTTATGGTATTTTATATGTTCGGTTACTCTTTTGGTGTATATTTGATCAAAGCAGTGAGGTGAATATTAAAATCAGGTGATTAGAATTTGGCCATGATAAGTATTTTTCCTGTGGTTTTGGGAAATGTTTTAGAACTAGAACATGCTTGTGTATTTTGTCTGAGAAAGTGTTACATTTGCTTCTTTGGAACTGTGCCTGTGTCGGTCTTTATGATCCTGATGAAATTGCACGTTGCACCTCAGTGTCTCAGAATGGCAGGGGGAGACTCCGGAAATGTTGGGATTCTTATTAAAATGTCTCACTTTGATTTTAGTATCACTGCGCTGGTAGAGTAATGAAAACAACCCTTGACGTCCAGTCGGGAGGCCTGGGTGCTTGTCTCTGCTGCGTGCTGCTAATCGGCTGTGTGACTTTGGGAAGATCATAGAATTTCACTTCGGTTCAGTTATTAAATGGATAAATTGAAGCGATTGGCTTATATTATCTTTTCAAAAATAGTTTATTGATTTTTAGAGAGAGGGAGAAACATCGATGTGAGATCGTAACATCAATCAGCTGCCCACTGCTGGGGATTGAACCCGCAACCGGGACACGTGCCCTGACCGGGAATTGAACTGGCGACCTTTTGGTGCAACCACCTGAGGCACACAGGCCAGGGCCTATTATCTTTTAAGACCCCGTTGCTGTCTTTAAAGGCGTTACATTCAAGGCACTGTATTTCAGTGTTGTAATTACATGATACTCTATTACATAATACACCAAAATGGCCTGTATCGTAATTGAGAGCTCTTTATAGCTACCTTGCCTTCGTGACTAAGCCGGCTATAGCAGGAAACATCTTTAACCTCACCAAGTGCCGTGGTATCTAGAGTAGCGAATGCATTTAATATTTGTTTTGCTTTTAAAATTTTATTTCTTCTGTTCTCTTTTTTATTTCAACGTGACATCTGGGGGTGGGGCGTGAAGCCATCGATCTTTCAGGATAATTTTAAAAAATCAGCACATATTTCTTAAGTCCTTATTATGTGCCAAGAACTGTGCTAGGTGCACCGATGACTGGACAATAAGAATAAGACCTTTCCGTTTCAACAGTATGTGTTGAAATAACCAAACCTTCAGTGGTGCGTGCTGGTTGTAAGCGTACAGCAGGCCCTCGAATAGCGTTTCTTCCAGCATCGTTTCATTGTGACGCTGGTGAGATGCTGTGGCAGCTGGACTCTTGTGTGCATCAGTGAGTCTGTGGGAAGACTGGTTTCGTTACATGTCGTATCGCTTAAAATTGCGGTTCCCAAGAGCCTATGGAGAATGTCAAGTGAGGACTTACCCTAATAATAGGGATTTGTATGCAGGAGAGAGAAGTAGGGTTAGAGGAGAGAGAACTCCATGCCAGGTTCTGGACTTAAACTGGGCATTCTGGAATAGTTACGATGGCTGGGATTGGACTAGGGAGAGGAGCCCGTGGAGGCTCCCAGATGAGGGAGGTGACATTTAATGCAAAGGCTTGGAGAAAGAGCCAGGTCGTGTGTGATCCCGCTTGCTTGCTTGCCCCTGGAGAGTGGTGGGGAAGCAAGAGATGAGGGTGAGTTTGTTGGAACAAAGACTGAATATTGCAAAGAATTAAAAAAATCAAGTTGAAAGGGGATCTCGAAGTCCAGGCAGAATATTACACATTAGTTTGAATTACATGAAGCAGGGTTTAAGAAAAAGGAATTTGACAGTAGTAGGTAAGCTGGATTAGTCTAATGGCTCTCAAATTTGAAAGTGTATCAGAATGCAGTTTTTGTGTTTTATGGGGATAGGGCCTGGAACGCTGCATTTCTTATCAAGCACCGCAGGAGATTCTGTTAAGGTGGGCTGAGGAGCACACTTTGAGAAATACAGGATTATGATAGAGAGAGATTTGTTTGGGGGGCTACCTAGGAAGCTTGTGTAGGAGTCAATGAGGACCTGTATTGAACTGGAGGGTAGGTATGAGGGATGGGGTTAAATCATGGCATTTTGTGCAATAAAGGAATCTTTTTTTTTTTTTTTTTAAAGATATCTTTATTGATTTCAGAGAGAGGAAGGGAGAGGGAGAGAGAGAGATAGATAGAAACATCGATGATGAGAGTCATTGATCGGCTGCCTCCTGCAGGCCCCCAACTGGGGATCGAGCCCTCAACCTGGGCCTGTGCCCTGACCGGGAATCGAACCTCGATCTCCTGGATCCTAGGTCGATGCTCATCTGCTGAGCCACGCCCGGCCAGGCCAATAAAGGGATCTTGAGCTTATTTGAATGTGGGCCGGAGCCAGCCTACATTTTTGGTCTTGGCACCATAAGCCATCCAACGGCCTATGCCAGAAACCAGTGAAATACTGCTGATTCCACCGCATCTGGTTACCAGGTTCTATTGATTATTTATCCTAAATAACTCTCAACTCTCTCCCCTAATCACCTCCACCACAGCTCCCTCGGTTCCGGGCCATCAGTTAACAGACCTGTGATTGCCGTGGCCTGTGGGTAGTCTCCTAGTCTGTTCTCTCACCTGGTTCAGGCATGTTCTACACTGTGACCAGAGATCATGTTACCCCCTTAACACTGTCAGGTGGCTCCCTGTTGCCCTTGGTGACCTTATCCCCGCCTCCTTTCTGATTTCATCTCCAGCCCCATTCTTACACGCTTTTCTGTCTGTGCAGGAGCACCGGGCAATTCCTGAACACCCTACTCTTTTACCTCTAAATCAAGCATATTCTATTTCTTTGAGCTGGAATGCCCCTTGATATCCATCAAGATTAAACTCCATGTCAATCTTCGGAGAAGCTGTCCTAGATAATTCCTTCCTTCCCATGGCGCTGTGTGCATAGCTGTGTTATAATATTGAACATATTTTATTTTAATAAGTCACTTATATGTCTCTCTTCCCCAATGAACATAGCTCCTGCTCGCAAAATACTAGTTCTAATGGGGAAGGCAGACAGGTAAACACAATAAAGGCAGGGCCTGCAGATGCGGTATTGTAAACGTTGCACTGTGGCAGGCCAGCAGGCTCTATGTGGCTCACGGGAAAGTCTCATTTTGTCAGTGTTTTGAAAGACACTGTAATGAGATGGGTGTTATGATCGATCTGCAGTATAAGCTGTTCCCTACCCATTGTCTTGTCTACGACCTGTTTCTCACGTTGGAGTCTGCGAACCCTACAATAAAGGGAGCAAACCATACGGGTCAGCTTGCAGAGGAACTGATGAGGGATTGGTTCTAGAAGTTTAGGTGGGAGGGGTGCCTAAGTGGAGGAGTTTGTGGTGGTTGTCTTTTTTTTTTTTTTTAAATATATCTTTATTGATTTCAGAGAGAGGAAGGGGGAGGGAGAGAGAGAGACAGAAACATGAATGATGAGAGAGTCATTGATCGGCTGCAGCCCGCAACCCGGGCCTGTGCCCTGACCGGGAACCGAACCCTGATCGCCTGGATCCTAGGTCGACGCTCAACCGCTGAGCCACGCCGGCCGGGCAGTGGTGGTTGTCTTGAGACGAGAGAGAGGAGTGGAAAAACAGTATTTAAAATCACTCTGGTGAAAGTCAGGTCCAAAAGGCCGTATTTTTCATGCTCTCATTCATCAGAGGAAGGGAAGTATCTCTTCATTGATAAAAAGGGCAGGTAAGAATTTCACAGAGGTGTCCCAGAGAGGAATTTCCAGAATAACCACTTTAAGGGGCTGCCTAGAAATGACCTACGTTGGTCAAAAAATGAGTGACGGAGAAGCCAGATTGAGGTGGGCGAGGCGAGCGGGGTCATGAACCGGGCCTGTGTGACCCTGCCTCTGTTTCGTCTCTTCAGTGCTGATTGGGAGCAGAAATGGAGGCCTTTGAGGCAAATGCCACTTTTCCACGAACCAAACAGAATTACCATCACTTTTGCTTTCCACGCTCACCTGAACCAGCCTCTCGGCCCCCTGCAGTCTTGCCTCTGACTCTGCTCAGCTGCTGTGTGTTTTGCGCAGAGCCTTTCCCTTCCTTTGCCAACATTCTGCGCCCCCTCTCCTGTGAATCCTCTCCTGGTCCCCCCATCCCGATTTCTACCTAATAGTTTATCTGAATTTCTGTAGCACTTCCTTTTTCATCTCTTACGGAATCGCTTTCTGCCTCGCCTTATGCTTTCTATTACTTTATATTATATGTTCCTTAAGGGCTGCTCCTATAATACTCCTATTTTACTTTATGGCAGCGATTTTCAGCCTCGTTCAGCTCATGGCACATAAGCTAATTACTCAAATTCTGCGGCACACCAAAGAATGTATTTTTTGCTGATCTGACAAAAAAATAGGTGTAATTGTGATTTATTCACACCAGATGGCTGTGGTTGTGTTGGCTGTCATTTTTTTAACGTTTGACAATATATGGGAAAAGAGGTCAGGGCCCCTGACTAAATAGTCAGGTATTGCATGTTTTAAAAATTCTTGCTGCACAGCGGTTGAAAATCGCTGCTTCATAGTAATATATAAGCCTTGAATAATATTGTCACCCTATATCTGTAGTGTAGACCCTGTGAAGGGATGTAAATTTGAGCAGAGGTCATGGGTTTAGAGGCAAGTAGACCCGGGTTAATTTTCCCACCCTGTTACATACTAGCTGTGTGACCTTGGATAATTTACTTAACCTCTCTGAACCTCGGTCTCCCCATCCATAGAATGAAGATAATACTAAATTCAGAATGGTTTTGGAACTTATTGTTTATATTTACTATATTTACCGTATAAAGAGGTTTGCAAACAGGTCTAAATTATTTTTATTTTTTTAAATAAATATTTATTGACTTCAGAAAGAGGAAGGGAGAGGGAGAGAGAGAGATAGAAACATCAATGATGAGAGAGTCATTGATCGGCTGCCTCCCGCACGCCCCCTGCTGGGGATCGAGCCCGCAACCCAGGCCTGTGCCCTGACCGGGAATT